CTATTCTATTCTATTCTATTCTATTCTATTCTATTCTATTCTATTCTATTCTATTCTATTCTATTCTATTCAACTCTACTCTACTCAACTCTACTCTACTCAGTTCTACTCTACTCTACTCCACTCCACTCCACTCCATTCTATTTTTTTTTGAGGGCCAAAGTGTATTCAGAATTTGGTGGCTGAATGTACTTGGCTCAATAACTTGAGTTCATCCATTTTTCTGGGATTGCACAGCACTTTGAGCCATAAACTGACCCAGTGAGTGAGATTTAACCCAGAGATTAAACCACACACAGACAAAAATCCCCGCCTTAACTGAAGTTTGGAACTAACCAGGTTTTCCCATGCAGAGCAAATGCGGTGATTCTGTCTTTCACTGATCTGTTGTACAAATGGAGATGCTCCACTTCCCAGCTCGGGACTCGAAACTAGACAGGGCTCAGTGTGCCTGCAGAACACCTCCACTCCTAGGTGTGGCTTGCCGCGATCTCAAGTCTTTTAGCAGCCGGATTCTGCAACTTTCTGCCAAAGTCTCCCTTTGAAAGAGTCTCGGGTTCTTCCGGGCTCCCACCATATTCCCAATTCTGTGGTTTTGCCGTCTGTTTTGAACCTTTGTCCATCCTCCAGCCTTCCAGGCCCATGTTGGGGAAGGGTCTGCTGAGCTTGGCAGGGTCCTCCAGAAGTTCATTGCTGTTGTTCATCCCATTCTAGGCCAAGCACCCTCCTAACAAGGAAATTAAAACACACCTTCCAACGTTGCTCCTGAAGGTGTGTAAGAGGAGACTTGCAACCGTTCCTGACTCTCCTCCCCGTTGTCTCTGGATCTCCAGAAGTTTAGAGCAGTTCAGCCAACGATGGTTGGGTCTGAACCTCAGTTTCCCCAATGGATGCGTTTGAGCAGGTTGAGCTCCTTATGCCCTTCCCCGGCTCTTGTGTCTCATGGTGCTTTTGCTAGACTAGACATTCGTACAATGGACTAGTCCTGACCAAGTGGCCCTGGGTGTCAGCCCAGAGAGGTCCTTCCCGGCAGGTTATCAAGACTTTTAAATGAAAAATCCCAATAGCATCTCAGTTACAGAAAAGAGACTCAGTCAGCTGAAATAATACCCAGGAATGAATAGGGAATTTTGCTCAGCTTATTGTGCAGGACAATACCTGTGGAGTATCCTTTGAATACTTCATGTGTATATTAAAGCCTGAGCATTGTGGGTCCCAGTTGGATGGGAGACCACCAGGACATCCCAGGGCTGTAAGTTAGATCGGGAGGTAGGAAACTATCCCAGAAGAAGACAGTGGCAACCCGCTGCCCTGCTGCTGCTAAGAAAGCCCCCAGGAGCTCTGCTCAACCCACAGGAGTCTTTGTTCTTTCAACTCTGGCACTGCTGCTCTTGCACAAAAATCACTATTTGCTCTTGCAGAACTTTGTCCCAGTTCTGGCCCGAGGTACCAGTATGCAGCCTGCCATCTTCCTTCTCAGTAGCATCTTGTAGTGGTCTGTGGGAATGACCTTGGGAGACAGGGGGAAGAGCCACAGCCAGGGGAAAAGTCGGATAAGCGGCAGCTGAGCCCGCAGAAGGAATGGGGGCGTGGCAAACGTCTCAGAAGGGACCCTCCCTAGCTTCTTGGACTGTAAAGGTGAGGGGGGAGAGATGTACCTTCAGACTTGCAAGATTGGTACTCAGCCTTGCGTGGTACTCCAGACAGGAAGCACGCCCAGATGAACTAATTCTACTTTATTGTAAGGTTACATTAACAGAATCTTGCAAGTACATTTGAAAGTACATTCCTCCTCCATCGCCTTTACAGCCCAAGAAAATAGGGAGGGTCCCTTCTGAGACGTTTGCCAAGCCCCTTTCCTTCAGCTGCCGCTTATCCGACCGCTCCCCTGGCTGTGGCTCTTCCCCGTCTCCCAAGGTCATTCCCACAGACCATTACATATCTTGCCTTCATGGTGAATTGCCATTCTAGCCTTCCCTTGCTGCTATTTTCTTTCTTAAATGAATATTTTAATGTTTGAATCGTGTTTGGATAATGTGTCATTGAATATGCAATGGGGGGGAGGATTTACTGCGAGAAGTGAGGAGGGGGAAGAATGGCCTGTGGAGTATTGTAGGCCGCGGGCAGGAGATGTAGCCCTATTTTTCCCTTTGAGTTGCCAGCGGTTCTCTTTTTTTCCCTTCCTGAAAGAGTTTTAGCAACTTGGAAAGCTCCATCAGAAGCTGAAGGAGCGTAGTGGCATCTTTCTCCGTTGGTGGGTCTGCAGGATGGGTAGATCTTGAGCTCCTGCGTTCCTGCCCTCTATGCAGCTATGGATGTCTGGGAGCTTTGCTGGAATAAAATAGTTGGCAACCCAATGGGGTGAGCGTGTGTGTGTGTGTGAGAGAGAAGAAGGGTTGTGGAGCATTTTTGATTTGAAGGCAAAAAGATGTTTCAGAGGATGCAGAGCTAGCCATGCAGCCCCTCTCTGCCACTCTTTAAAGCAGCTGCATCTTCCCAGAGTCCCACCCTCTGCAGCAGCCATACAATGCAGCGGGAGGGGGGATGTTTAAGGAGTAGCAGACGGATGCTATATTCTTTCATAGACTCCTAGGCTGGAAGGGGCCTAATCCAACCCCCTGCCCAGGCCAGGAGCCCTCTGACCATCCCAGAGAAGTGGCTCTCCAGCCTTGCTTGAAGACCTCCAGCGATGGAGGCCCCACG